TACTTTGAGGATCGTTTGCGGTACTGTACAGAACAAGGAACCTGAGACTAAGAAATTCGTGACTCGCTAGGCGCGTGCTAGTCTGAAATTGATACTAAAAAGAGGCTTGGCGCAAAAAATGCATATTATTATTCATTCAAACAACTTCTCCATGGTAACACTTGACAGTTATCAGAAAAATTGATAAACTGATGGATTTCACGTGCCTGTTCCTGGGCAAATTCAGGATCCAAGGGGATGCTTTGTCTTGAAGATATTCTTCAAGTATGAGATGTAGTTTTGCTGTTTTGGCCATGTTTTTAGGTATTAGATCAAGGTAGGTATTGAGAATTTCCTGAACTTACTTTAGGAAAAATGGGTTTCCCCTAGCTTCAACTCAAACCATACCTCCGTCAGTTGTCATGTCACAATATGCCTTAAAAGGACTATTAGTCCTTCCAGGGTCAATCCAGTACTCCCCGTCGCCATTGGAGATACCTAAGTCCTTGATTTCTTTGCAGGATTGAGCGGGATCGTAGGAAAACAGCGCGCATGTCGCTACAACAAAATAGATATCAACATAAGAGATCAACTGTGAAGAATGCGCCTGCAATCGTTTTCAAAGAGACTTAAAATAGTAATAATATACAGGTAATCTGCTTCCCGGATCTTGCTTTATTCATTCAGATGAGCAGTGATTCCTGTTGCCGACAGCCAACTTAGAGTTGAGGCTACTAGGGAGGAAAATCATTAAAAATAATAATGCATGTGAATAGATTCCCCGGCTTAAGCCTGTACTGTAGGCTAGTTCCAGTTCATAGCTAAGAATCCACGACAAACGTGTTTGCCTCAGTCTAATAAATTAAAAGCAGAGAATGCGATAATTGCGTGTTCTACTGAGATATTTACGTTTGCACTTCTTGCCATCTCCCTTGTAACCAGGTTTACAGGTGCAGGTGAAAGACCCTTCAGTGTTCTTACATAACGCATTTCTGTCACAGTTATGGATTTTGCTTGTACACTCGTCGATATCTAAATGAAAATCATAAAATTGCATTTATTTTACGTTTACAAGGCAAGTAAACTGAAAATTCTTCCTTTACATTCTACTCTTTTAAATCTACTTTACAGATGAACGCGATGGCTTGTGTGGCTATGCTAGTGTTATAAAATTACCTGGACAATTTGTTCAAAAGCGGAATAACGCTATCCGCTGGATAAATCACCATCCAGTAGATAGCGCAGTTAGTTTCCCTAATACTTATCCACTGTGTAGTTATTTATTCCATGCAAAGCGCTATCCAACGTTTGAACAACCGGTGCCAGGGAGAATAAATTCAAGCAATGGAATGAACGAACGTGCTGGATGCATAAACTATCGTTAGGTGATTAAGAACTGATTTCCACTGCCTCGTAATTTTTATGTGTGTACGCACGTAAAATGTACGTGCGTTAATATAATAGAGGCAGTCAGGGCCCTGGAGGCAATGTATGAAAGGCCGCGTGTAAAAGTTGAGCGAGGTTCAAGTTTTACGTTTACGCGCAACCTTTGATACATAGCCCTTATTTTATATACGTACTTAAAACTAAAGCGCCTACGCACGCAAAAATTACGCGACGCTGGAAAGCCACCTTTAAAGAGTGCTAGATAGATACCTCTACACTTCTTTCCATCTCCCTTGTAACCGCGATTGCAGGTGCAAGTAAAAGATCCCTCAGTGTTCTTACATAACGCATTTTTGTCACAGCTATGGGTTTTGCTCCTACACTCGTCGATTTCTAAAAACAAAGACAAAATAATGAAATATTGATTTCATGCGCCAAAAAAACAAGGTAATACCTTCCTTGACATTTCCTCCCAACTTTCCTCTATTCAGACCTGTCAGACCCCTTGGGGCTTTTTATTGCCTTCAGTCTGAACTGGGGCGACTTTGAGGTCTAAAAGTGAAATTTTCCTTTTCGAGTTTTTTTTTTCAAGTGAAATCAAAGTTTTACGTTATTACCAGTGAAGTCCCCAAACGGAAGTTCGTAATTGTTTTGATTAAAGAAATCAACATTCGTGTAAAAGGTTGTTCCACACTGAAAATTAAAAAGATCTGTTTCAGCCCTAGCGTCAATTCAGCCCTGCGGGCCAAAGTCTGATTCAGCCCTTCCTGGAACCATTTGAACACAATTCAGGCCAAAAAAGCTCAATCAAAAGGCTATTCCAGCCCACGTTAGGGCCCATTTCAGCCCTGGGACCAAATCAGCTCTAGCTAATTGGACTGTATTGGCCCTAATTTAAGGGCACCAAATTAGACTCAAAAATAGGACTGTATTTTACCTACCGAAACGGCCGTATTTGAAGGGCTAAAACAGATCTGTCTGATTTAGAGTGCACATATTAGTGCAAGTATTCTTTTACTGCTCGAAATTCCGATTAAATACCCACTAGGGGCTTATCAGAATGTTTTGACCACAAAAGATAGAGAAAATAATAACAGTTCTGTACATACACTATATAGCATATTTATTTAGTCTATATTTTAATGAATAAAGTCAGTCGGAACAGAGGACAACTAAGTCGGTCAGTTTGCGAAGCAAAAGGGCAAAATATGGAAGACATTTAAAGCAAACTTCAGTACTTACCAACGCATTTGCCGCCATTTCCAGAGTATCCAGCTTTGCAAGTACATTTGTATGAGCCCACGGTATTCTGGCAAGCAGCATTCACATTACATCTGTGATAGTTAGTTGTGCATTCGTCAATTTCTAAAAGAAATCACTGTGATTCATTCTCTCACATTTCCTATAGCTGATGACTTTGCTACGTGCTTATTTTCTGAAATGATATTCTCAACTTGAATTCATCATAAAACTCTTGAAAAGAAAAAGCGAAATTACTTTGAATTTTACCAAACACTGGACACAATGCTTTTATTTCGGTTATGACACCTTAACAACTGTCTAATAAGCTCGGCTGCATGCCCATTTTTACCTTGATATAGTCGTACGAGTTTGAAACATAAACTGAAACAAAGTTAATAACAGTGGAATGGCTATAAAGCCCTACAAGCGCATTTATTATAATAGTATGTTTTTTTGTTAGAGGTGTTTGGACTCAACCGACGGTGTGAAACGTTCAATAGCATTCTTATCATTTTGATCCTTTTCACCAATAAAAACCTAGCCTGTGTTCAGACGCCCCCTCACCTCAAAAAAGGGGGAGGGGCGTCCGCTGTACACAGGCCGGCTATAAAAACGTCGCATTCATTTATTGTGAAAAAAAAAAAGAAAAAAAATCTTAATCTTAAGCTTTGATGCATTCTCAACCAATCTCCTCTACTAACTAGGACTGAAAGATGATACTACATTTACATTAGATGGCTTTTTTGTTGTTTTGGTTACATTCCTGGCATAAAATATTGAAGTGAGCCACAACCCTTTACAGAACATAAGATTACCCCAGGTGCCAACTAACAGATCATTTAATGTAAGTTGTAAAACGGACCTGATGACCGCTTTTACCTCGAACACAAGTATAGTTATAGCAGTTATCGCAGGAAACATCGTTCCAAGTGTAGCCATCATTGGCACCCAGAGTGTGAACACAGTCTTCGTTTTTCCTGTTGTTTGGTTGTTGCGGAGCCCAGAACCGAAAACTGGTTATTTCCTTGTTTGTCCAGACAAATGATCCCTCAACGCTTTGGTCATTAAGTCCAATCCATGATCGCTCTCCATTATGACGGTGCTGAATGTAGACATTTTCTTCTTGGTTGTGCACTGTTATCAGATGTGAGTTCATTGCTGAACAGTTGGACACAGCAGTCACCCAAGGTGCGCATACAGAGCTTGTTAAATAGCAGTATCCATTGAAGTAATCCCATCCCGATGGACAGATGTCTGCGCGTATACAAAGTAGGAATTAGTGAACTGCAAAATGATATTGCTTATAATGTATGGCTTTAGGAGCAGTTACGTACTTCGAACATATTTGTTATTTCCGGTTTTGTGATAAAAAAGGAAATGGAAAAGGAGAAGCTTTTTGTTCAGGACAAAAATTTAATAAATGCAATACATAAGAGAAAAACAACTGGAAATATTAATATATAGATTTAGCCAGGGCTAGAAGGGAAATTCTGGTTAATAATAGGTGGTTTTGACGTTACGTCATCCCCGCCATGCTGGTGGACGGTAAACAAAAGATCGCTCATTAGCTCGCTATGTTTGTCCACCAGCATTTGTTCATTTCACCATTGTTATTTGCGTCTCTCGAGATTGCATGAAAGCCACCTATACTTGTAAACAAAAAACGCTAAACGGGACGGCAATGAATATGGCATCAAGATCAAAAGATCTAATTGGCAAAAAAAATAAAAAAAAACAATAAAAAAAAAACGTGCAGCACACTCTTTTTCCTAATTAGCAAAAACGAACAAATTTGCACGTGCAGCACGCTTTTTGTCTTTGTTTGCAGTTGTTTTGCACAACTACAACGCTGTTTTGTAGGACTAAAAAGGTCAAAATTACTAGTTTCACATTATTTTTGTGGAGGAATGGTCGTATGTGCTTACCCAATATTTTGTATCCTGTGTTCATGTTCGCTTTTATTTTTCACTGCCGCTTATTTTCACCTTGCTGGCCGCTAGCATTTCTCATTGTCTCACAGCCGCTTTGAATTTTCATGTTTTTCTTCCTACAAAATTCGTCTCTTTTGTTTTCAATCACTCCCTCTAGCTCTTTCTCTGTTATCCACGTGAGTGTAAACATCAAAAATAACGTCGAAAACGACACGACGTTGTTGTTGTTTTTTCTTTCTAAAAGTCCGGGCAGCCAGGCGATTTCTTTCCAAATACAACCTTGAGTTGCATTTGGGTTGCCATACCTGTTGATTGAATTATTTTACATTGGTATGCCTGTGGTGCGGACGGACGGTCGGGCAGGAGGTCTGTGTACGGTCACGTGATTACCAAATTTTCTTGGATGGGTAGTTCACCACATTTTTTTACCCGTGGTGCTCCGCTGCGCGCGATTCGCGCGCG